ATCCACAGTTGGACTCTCTTTATCTCTCTGCCAGCCCACAAAACCTAAACCAACTGTAGGTTTTTAATGGGAATGCAGGGATTTCCATGCAAATCCAAGTTCCCTGTGGRTTTTACAGCTCCAAATTTCTCACCTCTTGGGGTTTGCCTGGTGSTTCCATGGATCCCTGGAGGTGAGGGAGCTCTCACCGTGGCCTTCCCCCTCTCAGCTCCGTTTCCTGCGCTCCTGAAGCTTTTTGTCCTTCTGTCCCTGTCTCAGAGCCAATTTAAATTGARCAGCTGAACTTAAACAAGATGAGCACACAGTGTAATCACAGAAAYCCCTGAACCAAGASAGCCACAGCCACACACCGCRATCACCAAAACCCRTGAACCTCGAAAGGYTTTTTGTGCCTYCCARAACCTTCCCACCTTCCGAMATCCCTTTTTTTCCCCCCTCCTGTCCCACCGACAGATTCCCCTCTGCAGGGTTTTCTCAGCTGCTTCGCTGTGATCTCTGCTCCCTCCTCCTTTCACTGTCCCTCTGCTTCTCTCCTTGCAGTCCCACACCTACGTCAACACGGCCGGCGCGGAGCCGGAGCCGAGGGGCCGCCACTGCATGCACTCCTTGCCTGAAGCCCACCCTCCTTTCCCCCCTAGGAACCATGGCCGTTCTCTGGAAGACCGCAACCCCCAGGTCTTCYTGCAGCCGGGGGAGGTGAAATTCGTGCTGGCTCCCAGCTCTGGTTACCGCCGGCTGTGCCGGCAGCCCCGGGAATGCCGGCAGCACCTCTGCCCCGCCAACAACAACAACAACGACGACGACGAGTGGCGGGAGGGCTGCGGGTCCCCTCGGTGCGTTTACGAGAACCTCAACGGGCTGGTGGCTCCCGGCGCCGTGTCCCTGTGCCGGTCCGGCCGCTCCAAGGAAGGGAACTGCTGCCATCGGCGCTCGGCSCTGCTGCACTACGAGAACCTGCCGGCGCTGCCGCCGGTGTGGGAGCTCCAGCCGGGCCGGCCGGGGGATGAGGACACCGGCACGGCCCCCACGCCGTCCCCGAACGGCTTCTCGGAGGCTGGCGAGGAGGAGCCTTTACAGAACGCGGCGGGCTCGGGGAGCTCGGCTCCACAGCCACGCCGCAGCTCCTTCCTGCCCCGAGCGCGCCGCAGCCGCCTGCCCAACGTCTTCAGCTTCGACTTCCCGCGGCCSTGCCCGGAGCCTCCTCGGCAGCTCAACTATATCCAGGTGGAGCTGGAGCCGGAGCCGTGCCAGGCCCGCCGGGAGCAGCCCCGGGAGCCGCCCGCTGCCAGCCCCGGCGCCCGTCGCAGCGGCTCCTACGCCGTCATCGACCTCAAGAAGACGGCAGCCATGTCCAGCCTGCAGCGGGCGCTGCCCAGGGACGACGGCACCTCGAGGAAAACGCGGCACAACAGCACCGACCTGCCCCTGTGAGGGTCCCCGAGTGGAAAATGTGCCACAACAGCACCGACCTGACCCTGTGAGGGTCCCCGAGTGGAAAATGTGCCACAACAGCACCGACCTGACCTTGTGAGGGTCCCCGAGTGGAAAATGTGCCACAACAGCACCGACCTGCCCTTGTGAGGGTCCGCGAGTGGAAAATGTCCCACAACAGCACCGACCTGCCCCTGTGAGGGGCTAAAATGGAAAATGCGCCATGACAGCACCTGTGAGGGGCCAAAATGGAAAACGCACCACAACAGCACCGACCTGCCCCTGTGAGGGGACAAAATGGAAAATGTGCCACAACAGCACCGACCTGACCTTATGAAGGGAAACGTGGCACGACGCACTTGTGAGGGGCCAAAATGGAAAAAATGCGCCACTACAGCACCTGTGAGGGGCACCTCGAGGAAAACGCGCCACAGCAGCACCAACCTGACCTTGTGAGGGGCCAAAATGGAAAAAACGCGCCACTATAGCACCTGTGAGGGGCCAAAATGGAAAAAACGTGCCACTATAGCACCTGTGAGGGGCCAAAATGGAAAAAACGTGCGACAACAGCACCGACCTGCCCCTGTGAGGGGCCAAAATGAAAAAAAACGCGCCACTGCAGCACCTGTGAGGGGCCACAAGTGGAAAATGCGCCACAGCAGCACCGACCTGCCCCTGTGATGGGACAAAATGGAAAATGCGCCACAGCAGCACCGACCTGCCCCTGTGATGGGACAAAATGGAAAATGTGCCACAACAGCATCGACCTGCCCCTGCGAGGGGACAAAATGGAAAATGTGCCACAACAGCATCGACCTGCCCCTGTTGAGGGGCCACAAGTGCCATCC